TGGTTTGAACCTAAATAGTTTATAGGGAAAGTAGAACCTGCCCTTGGTGTTACCTCAGAAAAGTAAACTAAACACCAAAGTTCTTGACAGTAACAACAATGAAAATAATAAATTTTTATATTTCCACTTTATTGTTGCTTAGTTTCTTTTCTTTTCTTTTTTCTTTTTTGTGAATCACTTTATCATGAAACATGAAGTCCAGAAAGCACGCAATTATAATTACTTCATTTGACTATAATGTGAATGACTTTATTGTCATCATTTTAATAATTTTTCTTTTTTCAAATAAAAGACTGTTTTGTTTTTCCTCATGGCTTCAAATTTTGTAGATATTTTCTCACTCTTTCAATTTTTGGTTAGCATTTTAGTTGTCCCATATTACTTTTAAAAAATTCAGGAAAATATTAGTTAATACCTTCTTTATTTTAATAACACTGTGTATGGTAAAATAGGGTATTAAATATACCATTAATTTTAAAAGTGAATTTAAATCAGAATCTTTAAAGAATTTCTATTTTATAAAAATCAAAAGCTATAAATCCATAAATTTAGAGGAAAGGAGTCTCTTGAAACTGGCTTAATATTTTGTTAGGGGTGGGGGATATAGTTAGCGGCACAACACTTGGCTAGCACGTGTGACGTCCTAGGTTCAATCCCTAGCATTATAATAGACAAATAAATAAATAAATAAATAAATAATTTTTTGGGTTAAGAATCTTCTTTTCTTGCCTACATAAGAGGCTTCCCAGAAAAGCAAGAGAAATCATAAATACAGTCTGAATGTATATAGGAAATGTAACAGAAGATAGAAACAATCAGTCTCTCAATTTTCTTTGCCTTATAATAGAAATGTTGAATATGGGATGATTATACAACACTGAGCTTTAGGTCTCTTTATCTGAGTGGTGTATGGAATTTTTGTTTAGCTTCACTTCTGTTGTGACCTATATTAATCCATTTAGATTCAACAAAGACAGTGAGTCATGAAAAAGGACTAATAATGAATGTTGGGGCAAAATGGAAAGTGATAAATGAGCATTTTTTTAAATATATGGCTTCAAGAAATTGACTTACAAGTGGTATTACGATGTGTTATGGTATAGTTCTGTAGGTTATAAGCATTTGTCATCTTAATAATATGTTGTTAGGGATGTTGTTAGGGAAGTTGAAGAGAGATGTGTATTACTGCTATTGATAATACTTATTATCTATGTTCCCATTGGCTAGTTGCTAGTGTTTCACATTTAAAAAAATCTTTCTGTGAATGTTCAATATGCATTTTTTCTCCACTACATGCAAATAACTTTTGTAAGTTAAGTTAACTTGGGCAATTTGGAAGGCTTGAAATACTGATATGTTAATCATCTTTATGCAGTTCACTTAATATACATTTATTGACCATTACTAGCTACCTAACACTAGTAGGTGTAAGGAAACTAATCATGTTTTTAAATGATAGGTGCCTAGTACATTTACTTTGAATTAATGATAGAAGTTTGCATAATGTCCTGTGAGATAGGGATGATTGTTACTTCCTTTGAAATAATAATAATCCAAGGATCTACAAAAGTTATTTTGCGCAAGATGTAAAGATATAGTGGGACGCAAACCCCTTCCCATTTTTCTCAAATCCCTTTCCACTTTTTCTGTTAAGTAAATTAAAATTCTGGCCCATATTCTTTAAGTACATCAAAGAAAACTTTATGGTCCATTTCTTCATTATTTATTATTAGCAAGGATGACAATTTTTTAAATGGCCACAATTCTTAACACTTCTTTCATTGAGCAGTGTGTGTGTGTGTGGGGGGGAGGTCTATGTCCCTCCTTCCTGATATGGGTAGACTTGTGATTGCTTTGATCGCAAGTCAACTAGTACAGTGAAAGCATTGTAAGACATCTGAAGCTAGGACATAAAAGGCAGTGTAACTTCCACTTTACTCCAAGCATGTGGGCATGGACCCTGAGCTGCCATTTCATGAGGAAACCAAGCCATATGGAGAAATTACCTATACCAGGTGCCAGTCATATGAGTGGGGGGCCTCCAGAATGATTCTAACTCTTCATTGTTGAATCTTATTCTCAGACTCAAGTTGTTCCAGCTGAATCCCAGCTATTATAGAGTAAAATCATCTCCCACCCCTAGAACCTGAGAACATAATAAAATGCTTTTTTCAAACCATTAAGTTTTGGGGTAGTTTATTATTCAGCAGTAGTAACTGGAATAGCAACTGATATAAACACTTCTCCCTAGGTTCCTATTTTTGCATATCATCTGGTAGCTTTTCTTCCATGACACCTTTTTTTCCAGCCTAAATGATCTCTCCTTTCTTGCTATACTTTCACTATACATGTAGTCAATACTGATTTATTCATATTTATTTATTCATTCTGTGAATATTTTACATTCGATTCTTTTCTATTCCGAATAGATTATAAACTTCTTCAACATTTTCATTTAATAAGTACTTAGTTGCTATCTACTATACATCAAGTTCTGTTCTAGGTGCTGGGGATACATTGTTGAACAAAAATAGGCACAAATTTCTGCCTTAATTGAACTTACTTATTTTTGTATAACTTATTCCTGCATTGCTCAGAGTGCTGCACATATAGTGACTAATAAATTATTATTGATAAATACTAGTTTTTAGCTTCTCAAGATTTCTATGAGATAAGGTTAGAAATTTTAATGAAGAGAGACTAAAAGCGTAAGTTACTATAAATAACTATTTTGAGTCATCTCATTTTGCTACCACCATATTTAGTAGTACTTCATAACGGTTTCTGCTAATGCCATGAACATTAACTTATCCTAAATTCCTTTTTTATTTAAAGTAGTATTTATCTTTACTTTCTTCTATAGCTGAGGAGAGGCACTATTGAAGGTTTTTATTGTTTATGTGAAATTGGTATTAGATCTTTGAGTAGAAAGAAGAAAAATCCTTCTTGGAATTCCTGTTCCAGTTCTACGGTGAAGCTAAACATGCAGATGGAAATATATCTACTGGTAGTTGGTTTTCCTCAGCAGGGGGTGGCAGTGAGTAGTAAGTGATTAGACAGTATGAAAATTGGACTAGGAACAAAAAAGTGTTACAATGTGAAGATGATACATTTTGATCATTCATATTTACTTCCTTTATGCTCTTTTTTCTTTTTGGTACTGGGGGTTGAACTTAGGGGCACTCAACCACTGAGCCATATCCCCAGCCCTATTTTGTATTTTATTTAGAGACAGGATCTCACTGAGTTGCTTATTAGTGCCTTGCTTTTGCTATGGGATTACAGGCATATACCACCACGCCCGGCTACTTTCTCATATACACTTTAAAAAAAAATTTAAGGCACTCAAACCAAAAATACCTTTGAGCATTATGTTTTTTAAATATTTTCTTAGTTGTACATAGACACAATATCTTTATTTTATTTATTTATTTTTATGTGGTGCTGAGGATCGAACCTAGTACCTCTCACATGTGAGGCAAGCACTCTACCACTGAGCTACATGCCAAGCCCATCCTGATTGTAATTTTGAAGTTCTGACTCAAGTAGCATTGCTTCCACAAAGCTTTATCTGACAAATATGTACTAATTATTTTCTCCTTTGTTTGCTCAGGATGGTTTGCAAAACTTTTAATGTCACATTAATCACATTTGATTATGTTGCATCTTTTCTTGCATTATAAATCCTTGATGTTAGAAACTATCTTACCCATTCCATTGTCTTTATAGTGTTCTTACTCATAGACATGGTATAAATGGTATATTAGGTGAAATTGTATTCAAATGTACAATGTGACTAATAATGGTGAGTGATACTAGGTCTCTCAAGGCATTAGTTTAAATAGGTATTCATTTTTTCAGAAATAGTGCTTAGCTACTTAAATAAAATTAAATCCAACTCCAAAGTGCTACTGTCACATATTTGTGAATTTTATAAATTTTTTTCTCTTATTAATTTTTTTTTCATTTCATTGTGGCCAGAGAACATACGTAATTGGTGTGCCTTCAGTACTTTTAAGGCTTGTTTTATGTCTTAACATATGCTGTTTTCTGGAATGTGGCCCACTTAGCAACACATTTGAGTACACAACACTTTTTTTTTTTAAATTTAAGGTATTCCAACCAAAATTTTGAAGATGGTTTAGATATCCATTCTCTGCTATTTTTGTTGAGGTTACTCCTATCATTTCTTTTGTCCTCAGAGAAATTAATCATCTACTTCTTCTACTACCTTTTAAACTCAAAGCATTACAGTTTGTTCTCTGTATCCATGGAGTCCATATCTGTGGGTTCAGCCAACCTTGGGTCAAAAATACCTACGGAAAAATTTTTGTTTGTACTGTACATGTACAGACATTTCTTGTCATTGTTTCTAAACTGTATGGTGTAACAACTATTTACATAGTGTTTACATTGCCTTAAGTATTATAAGTAATCTAGAGATGATTTAAAATATATGAGAGGATGCTCTAGGTTATATGCAAATACCATTTTATATAAAAGACTTATGTGTCCTTGGAATTACATATGGGAGAAAATAAGGGAGACATTTAGGAATAAACCCCACTTCACTCCTGAGATACTGAAAGGCAACTATATTTCATATTTTTTTCTATGATAATCTAGCTTTCTTTTCCTCGGTGGGAAGGCATGATCTTCTGCATTACTGACTTTTTTGTTTTCCCATTTCTTAGGGTCTTCTTAACGTTATGAGAATAAGTTGGGAATTAATATCTCATAAAGTATCTGGTCACACAAAGAAAAAACAGGTGACAAGTTGAAAAAGAAAGAAGAAAATATGTGATATTCAGTCAAATAAACAGAGTAGTATTAAGAAGTTAACAGTTTTCCTGGGCTTTGAATAAATGACTAAAATATTAGACCAAAGACCAAAGAAAAGTATAAGATAAAATTTATAATTTTAAGCAAACTTGCTTTATTATCTGCTTCTGTAATGGTTTCTTATTTTTTCTTTTTTGCTATTATTTTTTTTTTGTCAGGATGCTCGACATGCTGCAGAAGGAGAAATATATACCAAACTCAATCAAAAAATTGATGAATTTGTTCAGCTTGCTGATTATGACTGGACAATGTCTGAACCAGATGGAAGAGCTAGTGGTTATTTAATGGATCTTATTAATTTTTTGAGAAGTATCTTTCAAGTGTTTACTCATCTGCCTGTAAGTATGAACAATTTTTAAAAATTGTAGTATAAGTTTGCTTATAAAATGTTTTAGAATTTAACTCTAGATTGGGTTTACTTGTTTAAATAAAATTCCTAGATTGTATATTTCCTTTTCCATTATTATAAATCAGTTTATAAGGACTGAGCATGTAGCTCAGTATAGAACACTTGCCTAGCATGTGTGAGGCCCTGGGTTCAATTTCCAACCTGCAAAAAAAAAAAAAAGAAAGAACACCAAACCAAAAACAGTCTAGTCTAGTCCTTTTAATAAATCAGTTTATAAGGATCATAACTTAGCCAGTTTTTTGAGGTTCTAATTTATTTTACTTTCTAACCAAAAAATTTATTTTCACTAAAACCAAAGCAAAACCCTGAAACTGACAATGTAGACTTAAATAGAAATAAATACTAGTAGAAGTTTTCGGAAAAATCAGTATAATCAATGGTTTTTCTAGTTATAAAGGGCCAAGAAATCACTGACTAGTTTTTATACCAGAGATGAAAAGTAAAACAAGCATGTTCTGTCCTGGTACATGTTCTTAGTTCATGTATATCTTGAACTTCAGTTGATGAAACAATTAAAAAAAAATTAGAGCAAGGACATTTGGATGTAAATAGGCTGAACATCGGATTCTCCAGATGAGGACTACAAAGGCCAGAGGGTGGGATGGACATGCTCTTATTAAATGTATCTAGAAAATAATATAACCACTGTGAAAACAGAAATACAGTAGTTTTACACAAATAAAATAGGAATAAATTTTATCAACATTTCTATCATATGATAGAAGATGTAGCTGAACATAAAAAATAAACTATTTAATTCAAAACTTAGCTAACTACCACCAACCCTCTTCCTTGTTTGAAATGGAGGGGAAAAAAAAAAGTATTTTCCTTATTCTTACCCTATCCTCTTTCCCCATTAGGAGTTGTTCCAAAGAGCTAATTAGAGAAATTGAGGGAAGGTGTTTCTATAGAAATAAATAGAAGAACATCTTAAAAGAGATTTTAATCATGGCTCTTGGTCAAAGAAATTTTAGGTGCTTACCTGGGGATGATATTTTGTTTCTAATTGCTGTCCTTGAATTTATTTTAAAAACCTGTAAATATTGTTAATTAAATTTTACATCAACTGATTTCTAAAAAAGTGCTTTTCTTGTAGTATGCACTAAATAATTATTGAGTTAATTTGAATTCACCTTGTCAGTATAAATCTCTATGCTTCTAGCCAAAAGCAATCTTCAAGGATAAATATATACAAAATGTATATATTGTGTTTTTATGTTGTAATATCTGCATCACAAGTTGGTAAGAAGTGATAGATAGGAATTTTATGTATACATGGGATAAAATTAAGAGAGATTATATGTTAGAAATGTTTGGGATAAATTCCTCACTTTAGAAGGCTCATATCCTGGAGGAAATCCCAGTTTCTCAAAAGAGACTGATTACTTTGTGAGAAACAGACTCTTAGTCTAACTAGATTCAATCACTTACCTGATACATTGTGATATTTTGTCTGATTTTAAGTGAGTTTTTATATGCCATTTAAAATTTTTATCTTATCTACATGGGATTTTCTATAAAGAAAATAAATTTTTATACAGTGTAGACAGATAAATTCAACAATAAATTTAGGACATGACCAAGCAATTCACAGCTAAGAGAATGTTCTTACAATAGTATGTTCTTATTTAAGAATGAACTAAAAGAATTTTTAAGCAAAAATATTATGATATTGACTGTGATAAATTTTAATTATAATTAATAGAGCAACTATATTGTGACTTAGTATATTCCCTGAAACTCTGAAATTATATAAAATATTGAACTAGATTGTTTTCTTTCAAGAAAATTGACATAGTTACTAAATGCATAATTTATCTAAACCAAATATGACATTATGTAAGCTATCATTTTTAAATATTTTAAGCTGAAAATGATTTCTTAGTTTTAGATTATTTGTGGACTGAGATAGAGAGACCAATTCCAAAGTTCTTCAACCCTCAAAGAAGCTTCAGAATATATTTATTTATCACATCTAGTCCCAATTCAGGCAGCAAGCAGAACTAGTTATCCTATTTATAGACATAGGAGGTTAAATAATGTGTCTAATTTTAGACTCATGCCCTATCTTTGGTTTTAGCAATGTTCCTGAAAAATGGGATGAGTTAGTCAGTGGAAGCTGTGAAACTAATGACTCTTTCAAACAGTGCTAATATTGGCCAAAAGTGCAAAAAAATGGGACATGGAAGTAGATTTTCTGCAATAAAAGAAAGTGGCTCTTACTTACCCTGCAACTCTGAAAAGACACAAAATTGAACATGTTCTGTTTAAAATCTCCACCTGTAACTTTACTGAATATTTAGGTTTTTTGTCATTTCTATCACTGTTGCAAAAGAATGTTTTCTTTATCAAAGACTGTCATTATGTACAATTGGCGACCACATTGCCCAGTGAAAAGTTTCATTGATTCCAGAAAAGTTACAATTATCTAACAGAGTTTTGTTCTCTGCTTACAAGATCTGAGAACAGTAGAAGTTAGTAGATAATCATGGTTTTGATGGAGCCTAGGGAAAGAACTCTGTCATTTTCAAATAATGGTAGAAGTAGAAAGCTGTAGGATTTGGAGAACTACCAGTTATGTCTACTTTTTATTTTCTCTCCAAGGTTAAATGAGTGAGAGAATGGATATCTCTTACTTGTTTCTCTTAAGAGTGAATATAAACCTTTTTAGGAAATGGAAAAATAAAAGCTTTTTTGCCTCCATATTTAATTAGCTATTCCTCTTCATTTCATCGTGCTCCAGCAGATAAGACAAGCTCTTTTCTGGCCAGAAGAATTAACAGAAATTGAAATAGTCAGTATTTGTAGTAATCACAGTTATTTTTCCATTACTCAAAGTATTAAGCTTCCTTGCTAACTATGTTTTCTGCCTCAAGGAAACTTGCCTTTTTCATGGCTCATTTAGAATTAAACTCATTAATCTTTTATAGTTTCTACAGGCTTAGGTGCTGAAGTGACGATATTCATAGGATAGGCTCTGGAGTTAGGATGATTGAATTTGAACCTTAATTTATAATTTGCTAGCTATAGGATCCTGGCAACTTATGTAACCTTTCTGTGCCTCTTCCCTTCCACAAAATATAATGTATATATAATATATATTAGTTTCAGATTATTTGTGGACTGTGGAAAATATAATAATATATTTTGGACTGTGGAAAAAATATATATTTGTGGAAAATCTATATGTATAATATATAATCCATTCATTCTCCATAGGACTATTATAGGATGAATTACAATGCCTTGTAAAAACATTGCCTGACAGGGTGCTTGGTGTGAAGTAGGCACTATTAATAAATGTTTTTAAGGTTTAGTTAATATGTGAAATAAAAGTTACTTTTTCCCTGTATCAGTGCCCTTGGAAATAAACAAGTTTTACTATTTCAAAATGTGTAAATGACCCTTCTTTTTTTATAAACTTTCCCTGACAGTTAGAAAATACAGAAGACAGACAACAAAAAATTAATTTTGTCAAGGGATGATTAGTGTTTTTATTTTAGCCTATATTCTGCCAGTTGATTTTTCCTATGCATTTATGACATATATTTTTTAAACTAATTTATAAGCAAACTTTTTTGTATTGTAAGATTTTATATAAGCCAGAAAATGTTATACTAAGGAAATTTTTAAAAAGCATTAAACATTTACTTCCTGTTAGCATGAATATAAATTAAAGAAATTTTTGAGCCACTTGTACATCTAGGCACTCTCCATGCCTGCCAATGGAACTCAGTAACATTTTGCTCCAACTACTGCTTCAAGACCCCAGAACTGGTCTATTTCTGGAAAGAAGAGTTAACATTTCCTTCCTTCATAAATGTTATTCATGAGTTTGCTTTAATAAAGATAATTTATTGATTTACAACCACTAAGGGATATATATATAAATGATAGTTTTTAATTTCATCACAAATATTTATTAACGAAAGGGTCCCAATTATTCAAATGTTATTAACAAATAATTATCTTCTATAGTAGAAATAAATGGGAGCTCTCAAATGATCAGTTTGGCTCATATTTCTTCCTTTTTAAGAACTTTCCATTGTTTTACTTTTAACCATAAGGTAATCTTTTCTGCTTCTTTACTTACTCAAGAGGTGTAAGATTTGTAGATATATCTGATTTCTATTTGACTTTTCAATGTTTTCTTCCCATAAAGATCTTTTCCTTTTGCTTTCAAATATACTTAACTTTTTTTTCCTGCATTAATGAAAGTGGCGTGGACAGTTTTTTTAAAAATACATTTAAAAAAAATTTAATTGTTGATAGACTTTTATTTTATTTTTTTATATGCGGTGCTGAGAATCGAACCCAGTGCCTCACACATGCCAGGCAAATGTACTATCAGTGAGCCACAGTCCCAGCCCCTAAAAAAGACATTTTTAGAAATGACTTTACCTTTGGCATGTAATTCTCTAATCAAATGTAAATATAATTGGATGTTTTTCAAGAAAATCACTATATGGTTATAGGTGTTTCTCACTTTAGAGAATAAATGTCTGAAAAACTGTTCACAGCAGTATCTGTTAATCAAATTATTCCTCCCAATAGCTTGTACTCTAAGATTAGAGATGCCTTCCTACTGAGAGAAAGTGACCTCAAGATCATACTGGGAAATTGATATTGAGCATACCTCTTCCCAACTGTGTATTCAGTTACATTACACTGGTAGTCATGGTAGGAGTATTTAGAACATTGTAACCAGCAAATGATACAAACCAAGTTTTTTTTTCCTCCAGAGAATCATTGTTAAAAATTAACTAGCACACAACTAAATACAGCTTAACTTTAAAAATCACACTGTAAAACAAACAAACAAACAAACAAAAAACTTAACTCAAAAAGTAAAACATAGTATTGCTCAACAATAAATTGAAAATATGGGATTGGGGCTGTGGCTCAGTGGTAGAGCACTTGCCTGACATG